TGATGGCATAGTGTGTGTGTGTTGTGGCGGGGTGGTGGGGGCAGTTTAGGGGCACAGATTAAGGAAGAGCAGTACTAACACCATTGAATATTTGCAACTCACCAAATTTATATTTAGTGGAGAGGAAACTATAGAAGTCAAACATGCCTCGGATGTCAAAGAAAGGTGCTTCCCCTGGCCCCCTTTCTCCCTACCCTACATTGTGAGTTCTCGATTTTGTGAGGACTGTATCATTCTATATCTAGCTACCTGGACTGGCACCCACCCAACCACCAGGCATTATTCCATTCAGGAAAAATGCTTTGCAATCACATGACTTACAATAACTCAGACACTTCTATATTTTACTTTATATATTTAGTAGTAATAATATCTCACAATACAATCCCTAACGACATTTTTTCAGCTGCAATGAATCATTATATATGAGTCATAATAAACTATAATGTTATGAAGACTCTGAATAATAAAATGATCAGTGATATAGCCAACATTTATTGGTATATTAAATAAATCTGAATTATGAAAAGGAAAAAACAACAGGTCAATGATGAAGAAAATGTCTGCAACATTCCTGAGTTTAACTGAAGATCACCATCATGTAACATCCCCAATTTAGTAATGGTAACATAGCACACTAAATTAAGATAATTCCACTGAATTATTAAAGTGACAATGTAAGAAATATTTGAATGTTGTGCAGCTTCTGAACTGAAACCAGCAAGTACGTTCTTGGCAACTCAGGGCCTGATTACCCTACCCTGAAATAACCCTGTTATTTCTTATCACTGAGCATCGAACTGACCTGCTGACTGCTATCATCACTTCCACTGATGTAAGAAAGAAAGCTTACATCCATGTATCTTAAAAGTTTTCCTTCTTTTCTCTATTTGCAGTTGTCTGTAGTACTGTCTGGCTGTGAAACAGTTATTTAATTCTCCAAACATACCTAGTCCGCTGGTGTTATGTTTCAGATTCTTCTTCCCCTTTAGTGCAGGATGGGCACTACAGAATCATTTCACACATTGAAGGAGTACTTATCTCCCTATACACTTGAAGGCGTGAAGGCAAACTTCCCAAACTGACGTGCAATTCCATAGGCATTTATGCCCTAAAATAACCCTGTAATAACCTCTATTTTACCTTCCATTTAAGAATGAAGATATGATGTTCATTTTAGAATTAAGCAAGGTAGGGAATTACTGCTCAATTGAAATAGAAAAAAACCACATTCGATTACAGAGCATTCTCGAAATACCTTAATACTTCAAAAGAGTCAGGTAAGAGGCTAGACTTACCTGATGGTTGGCATCATCCAGGGTATGAATATTATTTAAATTGATCCCTGAGTAACAGCATGGAAATTACTCAGGTCAAAAATTGGCAATAATTGCATCTTTAAAAATTAAAGTGAGTTTCCAATTTTTACATTAAATTTACTTTGCCTATTTACAAGAAAACGAAGAAAACTGCAATTCTAATTTAAACCTAATCCAAATACTCAAGGTCATACAAGTGCTAAAGTTTTTATTAAACTGAATTTGGTAGTAGTTTCTTTAAATTCATATTATGTCAGAACTAGTCACAAAGTTAGATTTGATTTATTCAGCTTATAAATGCGTTATTGTTGCAATAAAGTATGTAATTTTACTTTCTGGTTGAATACTAGCTGCCCCTAGTTTCTTCTTCCCTTGTTTTCCATCAACACTCTCTGCTCCCTTACCTCCCTCCAAAAACAATACAGGTAAAAATTGAAATAACTGGATACTTCACTTCTCCAACTTAGACTCCTCAGTATAATATATAAGACGCCAGATGCAGCACCCTCTCCTTACATAATAGTAGGGGGTGGGGAGGGAATGTACTTTGGTCAAAATATGATTTCGGTTATTTTCAATTGTGTAGGATCACTAGTTGAAAAACTTCCTCTCTTCAAATATCTGTAACAAATAGAAAGCATTTCTAACCGAAAGGTTACCTTTACCTGAAGCAGGCAAAACTATTTGCACAGCCAATTGTATATGTGTGTGTGTGTGTGAGAGATCCATACATCTGAAGAGGGTTTTCAATTTCTAATGCGGCAGGGAAACTAAATTTGCTTTTACTTCCTCATCTTGACATCAAGTCAAATAAGCACGGGTTAAGCATGGGTTAAACTCTGCTGTAATATGATATTGTTACATAATAAAAGTTTCCTGTTAGCATTTACAAACACCTCCCAATATCCTCCATAGTGTTACTGGACACAAATTAAACCTCTAAATTAGAAGATTCACTGATTATGCACACAGCTGAAAAACAACGTAGCAACCAAAAGATAAATCTTTCTGAGTGCAAAATTTTTTTTTCTATTTTTTTTTCCTTTCTGTTGAGTCCTTAACTAAAGGCTCCTATTTGATAGTTTTCGATGTCCTTGATCTACACAAAGTAGGTGTTGGAAGAAAGCTGATTGGTCAGACAACTGACTTATTATTTTACTGAATCTGACATAAAATAACCAGGTGCAAAGAGGTTTGTCATAAATGCAACCTTCCAAGCAAATTGTGTCAAATAAAAACACACATACGATGCTTTTCAACATCCGGAAACACTTATTTCAGGCATTAGTTGTTCTTGTTTTCATGTTGCTATTTTCCATAACTGTTTTACAGGCACCAAAACGAAGATACTCTCACAGCAATATACTGCATTCAAGAAGACAAGCATTCTTCTAGTTTCTCTTTTAAAATAAAAAGATTCTAAGCTCAATTCTCGCGAACCATTTTCTGTCAAAATTTTGCTCTCCCGTATTAAGGAAAACAAAATTTGACCAAAAATGCATACTGACCATCATTGATTTTACACGTAAATAATTACCGTTCTTTAAAAGTTGTAGGGCAGCATTTTTTTTTCAGTCAAACTCAGTAACAAAGAACTGAGACCTCCACTAATAAATAACATCTTGAAATATACCTGATTGTGGTGTCCCCGTGTCAGTTCAATGGTAACTGACACGCCCCGAATTTAACTGTACCAGACAGTTCTATCTGTCCCATCGCTGACCAAACAGTGCTTCTCTGTTTCTATTCATTATGTATTATACGAGGTCTAAACACAGCCCAGTATGACGAGGGAAAAAATTACACTTCTTAGGATACCAAAGTGATGCATTCAAGATCTCTCTTGCAGTACATGCCCGTCCATAAGCACTAACAGGCATTTTTTGGATAGAGCTAAAATATGTTGGCCCCAAGCTCATTACTCTAAGAACCTTCAGGTCCCCTGTTCCTGCTGGTTTTCAGAAAACTCTGGTAAAAACCAGGCACTATCCAAACCTTGCACACCAAACTTGCAAACAGCCTTGTGCAATGATCAATAACCTTGGCTACAGAGTCATTGGCCCCAAATTCACGGTCCTGAAGACCAATGAAGCAAAAACCCAGACGAAATGCTAGCTGGAGCCCCAAAGAATTACCGCGCTTCCCCTCTGCCGCATGGAGGGAAGCAATGGGAGAAGAGGAGAGGAATGAGGCTCACCAGCTCCGAAGATGCTCCAGTGACCTCTGGCTGCGCGGCGAGAGCTGGGGAGGGAAGGCGCTAGTGCAGCCACGGCGGGCTGTGTGGACTCTGCCCCTGGTGCATTCCTCGCATTCCTGCACAATCTGTCGCCAGCCCAGGAGCCAGCAGCGCGCGTCCCCCGCTGTACACACACACCTGACTACCGCTGCGCCCCGAGCGGCCACGGCCACCGCGGCGCCTCCACTGCCCGCGCTCGCGGTGTGTCGCACTCAGCCAACACGCAGCCAAATCCCGGCCCCGCCGCTCGCTCTCCGGGTGGCGGTCCAGGGGAGAGGGCCGGCAGCCTCAGCAGCCGGTGGGGGGGATACCAGATCCGCCAGGGAGGTGCCGCAGCTCCGCTTCAACTCCTGGCAGGGAGAGGAGGAAGCGGCGGCGCAGGAGGGCAGCGGCGAGGCTCCGGGCTGGGAAGCCGGGAGGGGTGGAGCGTGAGGATCCGCGGCCAGTAGAGAGGGGCGCACTGGGCAGAGGGGGTGGGCAGGACCGGCAAGGAGTGCAGGACTTCGGGGACAAACGCAAGACCGCGCGGGCAGCAGGGGCGTGGGAAGACGGGGAGGGGGCCAAGGTGCAGGATCTGGGGCTGCAACGACAGCCAGCCAGCCCCCAGGGCTGAGGAGGGCGGGCGTCCTGTGGTGTCGGGGGCGCAGGGGCCGCGCGGCGGCAGGCAGCGGGGAAGCCGCCGCGAGGGCGTCCAGCAAGGCTCAGCGCGGCGCTCAAGTTCGGGGCTGGGGGCTCCTGATCCACACAGCCCAGCGTAGGCAGAGGTCGTGCGCGGCGCGTACGGGAGACCAGGGAGAGGAATCGCCGGGAAAAGCAAATGGAGGGTGAAACTTGTGCGCCTGCCGGGGGGAGGGGAGCAGCAGGCGAGTGCGGGCAGGAACATGAGGCGGGGCAGGAAAGCCGCGGCGGCCGCCAGGCGCGGGGACCGGGCAGCGGGAGGGAGGCCCCCAGCCCCCGGTGCGCAGGTCCCGGCCCCGGCGCGTGTTCGGGGCGAGGGCCGAGGGTCTCGTGGGCAGGAGTCTCCGCGCCCTCCCGCGAGCCCACACACTTACTTTCCAGCTTAGGCTGCGGCCGTCGTCGCTCCAGGGATCAGGGACATCGGCGCCGAGGGGTCGCCGCTGCGGCACCCGCAAAAATTAAAAAAGTGCCGCGGCCGCGCGGCTGCCCGCCCCTCCCTCCCCCACCCGCCCCCTCCCCCGGAGCAGCTCTCCCACCACCCCCGGCGGCGGCGGTGGCCAACTTGCTCCTCTACCCCTTGCCCATGGTGCCGCCTCCGCGGCCGGCGTCGACGCGGACTCAGCCCCGGAGCCCCCTCTACTGCCCAGAGGCCGCCGCCGCCGCCCGCCCGGCCGCCAGCCCTCCCGCCAGGCCAGCCCCGGGCTCCCGGGAACGTCAGCACGCCGCCGTCCCCGGGCCAGCTCTCGCCACCCCATTGGCGGGAAGGAGAGGGCTGGCCCTCCCCATTGGCCCGGCCCTCATATTGAACGGGCCAATGGGAGCTGCGGTTTCAGGTCGCCATAGAGACCGATGCTGTTCAGCGCAAGAGGGCCTGGAGAAGGTGGGTGTGAGGCTGAAGGTGTCTCAGGTCTCGGGCGCGGGAGGGGGTGGCGGAGAGGACAGGGAGATTCCCCAGCGCTGGCTCTGAAATCTGGGGCAGGTTTTCCTTTGCCTTACTGCCAACCCCAACTGTGCCTGGTAGGGTTTGTCCCTGGTATCAAAGGTAGGAACAGCTGAGCCCTTAGACGTACCCCTGACGGTGAGAGCCCAGGAATGAGCGTTTCACTTTTCCTGCGTTTGGGGAGTCCCTGAGGCTATGCCCTTTGACCTTTGACATGTGTGCAGCTTCTGCTTCTCCAGGTGAGTCTGCACCCCATCCCTTCCATCGCTGCTTCCTCCTGACGTCACTGAGCCACCTAAATCCTACTTACGCTGTTCTCCCCAGCCACTCCCCCTTCCCTGAGGTGGATCTTGCCTCAACGTTTTGGGTCTTCAAACTTATAACCCTTCTCAGAGAAGACTCAAAGAGGATTTCCTTTGAGGTTATTTTGGTAAGGAAACAAGGTGGCGGATTGTATGATAGATGCCAAAGCGTCAACACATGAGCTAGCCTGTTCCCTGATTCTCAAAGCAAACCTCTAATCTCCCTGTGGGCAGATATTTATTAAATACATCTGTGTGTACATCCTGCACGATGAGCTTGACAGGTGCATGTTCTTTCGCTTGAGAGGTTACAGGCTTGATAAAGATAGAGGAAATAGAAACGGTGCTTCACACCTTCCGATGATTTCACAAAAGAGTAAGGGAAATGGATTACAGTTGATGGATTTTGTTTTCTATTTTCCAGTATCTCTTTAAATTTGATATGGAAATAACCTGAGGCATGAAATCAGTACACACAAAAATCTTCAGCTTTAATAATGTCTTCTACTTTCATTTAAAATCATTTTGTGCTAGTTTGTCAATACTAATTGTTTAGTCAATATATTTTGTATTTAGATATCACCTTCTTAAAGTGAGATTTCATGAACATATAAGGCTTTAAAACATGATATTGCTCTAGCTTATAGCCACTGATATTCTTACATTCTTTCTTTTGGTGATTTTACTTTTTTTAGACTAATCTCTTTAGTAAGGAGACTATGTTTACGTTACTGCCCCTCAAATTGGAGGGACCATATTGTGTGAAAAAGCTGATAGGATTTTGGAAATTACAAATATTTTGTTGAGAGAAACAGATTAATGTGTGTGCAAGCTGCATGTGTCTCAGTATTCTGAATTTTAAGTTGGGTGATACAATTTGCTACCGGTTTTTATCTTACTATATTTGAAGATTACAAAGATGTAACCTAAGAAATGTTAATATGGTGCCTGATTGGAAAAAAAAAAAAAAACCACTCCACATTTGTAGTAAAAAACAGGTGAACATGTGAATGTTCCCCCTAAATATTTTCAGAATTGGGAAGGGATCTGCAGGGGCCAGGAAGTGCTGTGCCATGGCTGGCCATCATGGAAATAGGCTGTTTTTAACTTCTTCTGGCTTTTTAGTATGTGTTTTTGTTTATAGAATAGAAAAAGTAAACCACAAATTGTTATATAAGACACATGTTCAATGAAAAGATACCAATGGTTTTGCTTTTTTAAAAAAATTTGAATAATATCAAATGAATGGAAGATGTGTCTAATGGGAAGAAAAAATGGGTCTTTCCTTTTCTCTTGCCTTAGGCTAGCATAGAAAGAAGAAAAAAAAGCTTATTATTACTCTAATAATCTTTTTTTGTGTGTGTTTTTTCTCTGATGACTATTTTGATATTGTAGATTTTGTGTTTGTCATAATTAAAATGTTTCTAAAATCCACCATGAATAATGTCCTCTGAAATAAGTTGCCACTCAACATTAATTTTTTTATTTTTGTATTTAGTTGCAAGGTTTCTTTTGAACTTGCTCTTGCCCTACTAAGGATTGCTATATAGTGTTAAAGAATCACTTCATTCCACTCAAAGTTCATGCTATTCAGACTTGGCTGTGTCTTCACTAATTCTCAATTCCTTTCCTCATCAGGAGGATGATTATCTGGAACTTATCCAAGAACATTATCCAGGCCACTTCCAAACCTGTCCTATGTTTGCTTTCCTCAAGCCCCCACTTTACGTGGTTTTCCTCCACTTCTGCAAATGATCTTGCCTCGTACTCTACTGAAGGATCCACCATGAGGTTCCTCAACTTAACTTTCCTAGAACCCAGTCCTAGTTTTCACACATCTGCACCTCCTTCAGTCATGGCTGAGAAGGGGTGTCCACATTTCTCTTCAAAGCTCATACTCTACTTATGCTCCTAAACATGAGCCATCTTCTCTCTACCAGGATTTTGCTCTATTGATTATAATTTATCTCTTACATGATGTGTTACACCCTCTCCTCCAAAGATTTTTCCTAAGTCTTCCAAACATCTGGCTTTTGGTAAAACCACCTTCCTTCTACCCTACCACCATCTCTATCTACTGGCCTTTCTTTTCACCAAGAAACTGTCTGAAGGGAATTTCTTGAGGTTTCTACTTTGTCGCCAGTGTTTTGGCCCTTGAATACAACAGAAATGATTTTGAAGATTGTGCTGTTTCTCCTCAAAATCCTAGCTTATTTTGCCAATTAAGTTATCTCCTACAAAAATGTCCTTTGCCTCCAAGTTGCAATGGCCCAATTCCAGATTTCCAGTAAAGGAATGAAACCATTGTCGCCTACCCTGAGGATCCACAGAAATGCAAATGACCAGCTTGAGAAGAGGATGATTTAAACTGCTAGCCTGGCCACCTTGGGAAAAGTGCTGGGAAGTAGGGGTGGGAAGAGGGCCTGTGCTCAGGCTGACACTGGGGCCCAGGGCAAGGTTAGAATATTAAGAGGTTTGGTGACTCCACCCTCAAGAACAAAAGTAAACAGCAGAAATTCGAACAACTTTTCAATTACCAGCTCAGAAAGAAGTCAACCTGAAACTTTTAAGATTATGAAAACTTTGTAACTTTCCAATGTTTAATATTTTCGTATTATCCCATAAAAATTAGTGGTAAATTCCCTAAGAAGCATAGCAGAGGCAGCAAGGAATAGGAGGAAGCAGGAACACTGAGTCTCTTGTCATATCTGGATGTCTATGGAGGAGTGGGGGAGGTAAAGATAAAATCTTCAAAAAGTACACCAATATGATAATTTTGGGGTTTTCTTTTTAAAGAGGAATGTTAAAAACAGAGGTGGGTGGCAAAGGAGGGAAAGAGAGTGGTGGAATAAGCGGGTCCTGAGAAGGGTTGCTAGGGCTTAATAATAGTTCTGCTCAGGTGGCTATGGTGGTTTCAGGATTGGCTGAGCCCCACCCCATCCCCATCCTCTGAATATATTATGCAAATCCTCCCATGACTCTGCCTAATAATTACCTGTAAAAACTTTCTGAAAGTTTCCTGGCCCTCCCTATTCTTGAGAGGGTGAGTTCTTTCTTACTGTATTGTGGCCCTTGATACTCTGTCCCATGTTGTGGTTATTTTTGTGTGAGCCTTTTCCCCTGACAGATAGGATCCACATCGTGGTCATGACTGTGTCCCTCACTGCCTTAAACTACTGAAACACCTCCCATACTAAGAAAAGCCAATATTTAGTAGTCCTTTGTTTAGTTCTTGGAAGATCTTGACTTTGAATAATAAAAAATTGGAATCAGGATGTTGGGAGAGAATCAGGAAAAGTTGGGATTAGCTGTTCAGTGCGGAAAAATCAGATAAAGTATGATAGAGCAGAATAGAGGTTTTGAAACTCAGCTTTGCTAAGCAAGTTAAACAAGGGTTACTTTTTTTTGGTGTATGAAACTTCTAGGTTGTTCTGTCTCCTGGAAAACAGTGGGGTCATGAGATTTTAACAACTTCATAAAATCAGAATGGCGTCAAACATCTGGTATGTGTAATAGTCATGCTTCCTAGTACGTATATCCACAGCCCTTGAAGGAGGCAGCCCTGCACACCTCATAACAATGCACCTGGCATGGCATCGGCCCCTGTGGAGACCTGACCCATGCAGCCAACCCATTGCCCCCTAACTGGTAATTATGCCAATCAGATTATTTCCCAGGGAATTTGAAATTGAGAGGACAAGTGAACCAGAGAGAGCACTGTCTTGGTCCTGATGTTTTCTGGGTTCCTATTGATGGGACAACAATATGCCTACCCCAAAATGTGCCATTTTGGCGTAAGGAATATTTTGAGCTGAAAGCAATTGAGAAATAGCAGATGCAAGAAAAACTCTTTCCCTTCTGCTTTTCTGTCTAAAAGTAGGCCATTACTTTCTATTTGTAAAGTTGTCTCCCTCTCTACTACCAGGAAACGATCTACTTGGAAATGACTCTTATTATTGGAGAGGACACTTATGCACATAACACACCTTAATAGACAACCCTTACTTATATGTTTCCTAGCACCTTTCCATAACTTCCCCCCTCAACTCTGTTCTCCACAGGAAGCCCTATACCCCCTTTCCTTTGTGTAGCCTCTTCACACTTTATCACTTCTGTTAAGACGATATCGGCCAAAAATTCTAATTGCCTCCTGAGTCACATTTCTTTGTGAAGCTTTTGTGTACATATGTAATTAAATGTTTTTTCTCTTGTCAGTCTATCTTTTATCAGTTTCATTCTCAGACATTGAACCTAGGAGGATAGAGGAAAAGTGTTTTTCCTTCCTTTCACTATTCTCCTCATAAGGTCATACTTAAATAAACTTCATTTCCTTTTTGTTTTGTGAGATTTTTGTTTCCTGTGATCATCCCTACTCCATTCTTTTCCTTGTTTGCCTTTAGTGAGTCCCTGTTCCTTACCATCCAAGGCTTCATTTACAAATTATGCAAATATTTTACAATGAAAGAAAACAGGTATTACGACTTGTTGAACTATGAAGAGTAACACCCTAAAGGTTTTTTTTTTAATAAACAAATAATAGAAAATGAATTATCTATCTAGAATCAAATTACTGCCAACCTGAGTTAGGCAAAAGAATTTTTTTCAGTGTGGTGTTTCTACCCCCTACACTCCCACATC